TCACCAGATCCCCTTTACTACTGCTACTCTCTGCTATTCTCATCCTAGGCTTGCCCTAGGGAAAACTCAAGTTCAACACGACTGGTCCTCAGCTGCTGTAGGTCTCCTCATAATGCCAGTTAGCCACCACCTAAACACCATCACATGTGATGAGGATTAGATAATCCTTCAAGTAAAAGATCCGTCCCTACAACGGTTGGACTCAAACAAGAGCTGCGCAATAGGGCCAGTTCCAGTACTTTGGGATTATTCAAACCTGATTACATGTGGTGTGACGTGTTCACCTAGTGGCTAACTCCCATTACTCAGAACCCCACCAAGCACGAAGCAAGCAGCATTCGGATAAGGGGAAACAGACTCAAGCCAAAACTATTCTTATAACAAGAAACGGCACTAGCATAGGATGCTAAGCTCATACTATCAGGCATAACCTAAACAGGCTATCCTACTGCTGTCTACTCAATTCTAGCATGCAATACTCATAAAGCTGTAACACATAAGCAGGCACATAAGGCATCACTCCTAGATCCTTAGCCCTATTCTAGCATGCGGTTCTACGTAAGCTGATAAACATAACATAAACTTGTATGGGTACTATGGGGAATACTTACTTGAGCTCGGCCGGTCGCGCACGTCACACACTTCGCTCTTTCTTATGACTCTTTTCCGAGTTTTAGAGAACATTTTCTTTTGGAAAATCTTTCAATCCCTCGATTTGAGTTCAGACACTCCCGAAGGCGTGTCCGAATCCCTCAAACCAGGGCTCTGATACCAACTTGTAACGACCCAATTTTCATGTCCAAAAATTTCATTTTAAAATATTACTTTAGAAAACATTAATAAATAAAAACATTGTTTGATCACACATAACACATCGCAAACCATGTTTTAAAAGTCAAACCATACATCCCATCAAATATCAGAGTACAATCCCAGTGAATCTCGTAAATGCGGAAACCGAAGAGTGTGTGTGTGTGACATGCTGCTACCGCGCCGGCTCCTTTCCCCTAGCTGAGGAGGTACCTGAAACCAAAACTGAAACCGTAAGCACAAAGCTTAGTGAGCTCCCCCATAATACCCCATACCATACAAGCATTTAACATATAACATGCAATTAGGAGATACGGGCCTCGCCACACTCGTGAAGATACGGGCCCCGCCCACACCTCACTTTCTGAGAGATACGGGCCCCGCCCACACTCGTGAAGATACGGGCCCCGCCCACACTTCGCTACCTGGGAGATACGGGCCTAGCCCACACTCCATTCTCGGAGAGATACGGGCCCGCCCACACTCAACCGCCAACTCATATCATACAAGTATCGCACAGACAACAAGTGTAAACAGTTCTATCATGCTGGTATATCACAATCAACTCAACTAATAGATACGGGCTCGGCCCACACTATAATACTAACGTCTCATCTATACGGGCCGGCCTTGGTGCCTTAGACCCGTTACTACTGGAAGGAAACTCACCTCGAAATAGCTGCTGGTCTGTGTGGGAATTGATCACCTACTACTGCTGCTGCTGCTCCGGAAACTCCCCGGCTGTAATTCCCACAATATACTTAATCATACACTGCTAACTGTCCTTTGGGTAAAAAGACCATTTTACCCCTGGTCTAGCCCTAAGTCAAATCGAAGTCAACTTTTAGTTGACCCAACTCGCCGAGTGGATCTCCACTCGCCGAGTCCCTAGCAAACTATTGTCCTGGGTCCCTGATTCTACTCGTCGAGTTGGGCTATGACTCGACGAGTTCATCTTCTAAACTGTCATTCAACTCCTTCATCCTACTCGCCGAGTTGTATGAACAACTCGTCGAGTTCATCTTCATCCGAAGAACACATATGCTAAGACTCGCCGAGTTGTATGAACAACTCGCCGAGTTTTTCTTGATCTATGAAGATTGCCTTGGACTCGCCGAGTCAGGGCATTGACTCGCCGAGTCCTATCATGAGTGAGTTCAGCTTCCAACTCACCGAGTCACCCCCTGTGACTCACGGCTCAACTCGATACATCTTAAAGGGACCAGTTCAGTGACTCGCGACCAGACTCGTCGAGTCACATATATGACTCGCCGAGTCGCAGCCATGCATCCATCAAATACACCGATTTGCTCGATTCCAGTCCATGCCATTCACAGATCTGGGCTTCTAGGACACAATCACACGTAAAGTTTCCAACTTTACGTGTAGATATTCACCAATATGGATTTTAAGGCTCAAAGTGCACCAAAAGAGGTAGATCTAGGGCTTTCATGCAATATGACCCCATAAAGGCAATAGATCCAAGCTCCAGGGACTAAATCATGCCTAGATCTAAAGGCTAACAACTTATTATCACCCACAAAGCACAAACAAGCTTGGGGAAGAGCCCAAGAAGGACTCCAATGAAGCAAAAAGGGATTACAAGCTTGAAAACAGAGGGGAAACGAGCTATACCTCAAGGAATATGTTGAAATGACACAAAGATGCCTGATCTCCTTCTCCTCTTCTTGATCTACACCTCTTTCTCCTCAAAACCTTCAAGAACACACCAAGAGCACTTCAATCTCTCAAGGAAATAAGGGAAAAACGATGTTGGGGAGTTCTGGGGGTGAATGGGGACGAGTTGGGGGCGGAATGAGGGTTTAAATAGGGTGCAAACCCTTGAAACTTAGGGTTTCATCCAGCAGCGGTGACTCGCCGAGTCCAGGATATGGACTCGCCGAGTCGCCCACTTAAACGTGTCCTGAGTCTCGTCCCTACTCGGCGAGTCGGACCTTATGACTCGCCGAGTCCAAGGCTAAAATAGGGCAATGCTCAAATAAAATTCACATACCGGAAACCAGGTGCTACACCATTGGGAATCCATTACAAACCGTCATGAATTTATTGGCAATCCTATTATGTAATTTCCTGATTTACCTTTATGCACTAAAAGACAATTAGGAATCCTAGTTTGAGTAGGATACTTGGAATTATGGTAAGGATCAAGTTTCTTTGAATCAAGTTTTCTTGGTGAGCAAGGATTAGGATCTAGGCTATGTATTGTCTTCACAGGTTGATTAAGAGAGCTCCCATAGCACTATTTTGTAACCCAAGTTTTGAGTTATTTTCTTGAGTTATAATAAGAAGCTCTTTTGTTGATCTGTTAAATACCAATTATGTCTTACAAATCCATCATAAAGTTTGATAATTATGAATTTATTGTAAATTCGTAGGTTATTAACAATTGTGCTGAAAACTTCTTTAAGAAATGAGTGTTTTCTAATAGAAACCGTTAAAAAATTTATGAAAACCCTAACTCTTCTTTCTAGATCTGACATTGATATAAAATGAACCAAAAAAAAAAAAAATACAAAACATGCATTTTGATGAATTATTTTATTTTTATTTTTTTAATCAAAAGCCTATCACCTTCTAACAAGATAGTAATAATAATAATAAACTATTATTTTCAAATTAGATATTTCTTTTTTGCTAAACATGGATGAGTTTAGTGAAAACAAAATAAACTCACTTCACCTTAGTTGACGTGCTAATCAGCATGGTCATAATGTATTTAAAAAAAATAAAAACTAAAAATAAAAATTAGGGTAGCTTTAAAATAGGGAAATCTCCAATAAAGTCTTAATATTTTAGGTTGGTTTATGGTTTAATCAATGATAGTTGGGAGGAGAGGTACATGGGGTTCTTCTTCAATAAATCTCTAAACTTTATTTTCAAATCTTTTTAAATATCTCTCTATATGTTAAGATCAACGATGATATTCACTTTCAATAAGTATTGGAGATAAATTATAACCTCCAACACTGTTAGATATGTAACACCTACTTTCCAGATTGGATCGGAGTAGGAAATAAAGGAATCAAAGGCATGATTTTTTGGTAAAAATCATGTGTCACGACGAGACCTTGAGGAGGTCATGATGTGACCAGACAAATGAGGAATGCGTATCAGGAGGCGAGTCACGATGTGACGTATAAACATGACAAGGGGTACAACCCAAGCCCATGATATTTTAGAGTTTCCTTCGTATTTAAACCTCATAAACTCAAACTTAGGATCCATTATCAACCTCTATCACTCTAAAACCTCAAAAACCTTAACCTTAAAGATATGAAGATCAAAGGCACTTTTGAGATAACTAAAACCATATATTTATAGCTAAACAAAGTACTAGCTATTGACTAAAAATAGAAAATGTATAGAAAACAAGCGACTATGATTGCCATGTTTGTTCTGAAAAAAACCACCAAACACTCTTCATCAGATAAATATGTCATTAGTACTTTTCTTCACAACACTCCAAGACAAAATACAACTTTAACTCTTCGCACAACCTCTTTCACTCCAATATCTGCATACCTTCAGACTTGACAACTAGCAACTCATCACATATCACAAAAAGAATTAGTTCTTCACACATCTTCATCAAAAACGACGATAAGGATGATGATATTGATGATACCCCTAACCCTATCAGAAAGGCGGAAGAACACGAAGGCAAACTAGAAGTAAAGATCACAAAATGAAGACTATATGACAAATTGTTTTAACAACACTTTATTATTATTAATAGTTTAAACTTAGCATCCAAAACTCTTTCATTCGACGATTTGATGCATGTTTTAAATATTTTCATGAACCGATGCATTTTATGTTCTATTTGAGTGTTTATAAACTTTATTTGAAAAAAATTCAAATTTTGGATCAGATTAAACCGGTTTAGAGTTGTTTGAGGGAAAACCGGTTGGAACCGGATCCAAATCAAATCAAATTTAATGTGTATCACATTATTGCTTACGTCACCAAAATCGGATCGGATTAGATATCATATATAATAATATGTGTGCATCTCTACGTGGAACAACATTTTGTAGGTGCCACCAACGAATTTCATGACTATTGTTACAAATTCCTAATTGTTTGTTTAAATATTGTGAAAAAACCAAGGTTCTAAATGGTGTGAGGCGTGGCGTGGCGGCAAGTCCAAGCATCAAGCTTAACGAGCCATGGCGAGCCATGGCGTTTTTCAAGGCGTGATGTAAGGCGGCGATTTTGTATTAATTTAAAATTATATTATTACATAAATATAAATTTATATTAAATATAACTACTTTTTAAAAGTATTAGATCAATAACTAATAACAAAAAGTTAACAAAAACCACAATACTTGTATCTCCGATTTGAAAAGACATAAAAAGCAAAAAACTATGTCTCAAACGAAAAAACACGCGCCATAACACCCCATGACGCGCCATATCACGCCTTGCCACGCCTAACAACAACGTTATTGAAGCTTTTCGTAACGGCGAAGCTACGCTGCCCCTTTAAGAACATTGGAAAAAACTATTAAAATTAGACAAATTTGTAGTTTAATCTAAAGCACATGTAATCCTTGGTACTTTATGTAGAAAATAAAACGTTTGAGGCTACAAAGTGTGTACTATGACGTAATTAAGGTGCTATTATGTAACTTGTTTCATATTTCTCCGTCACGTCAGTAAAGCTACCTGTTGGCTTCCTGGCTCTGGTGAGAGAGAGAGAGAGAGAGAGAGAGAGAGAAACTCAGAGTTCCATTATTGGGTTCTTTCATCATGTAAATCCAATCTCCTCAACCTCCCGTATGTACGTTTACTCACTTTGATTCTCTTTTTTCCCCAATTATTTCACCCAATCTAGAGTTCTTCTACTGCAAATCTTCGTAAATTTGTTCCAGATTTCTCTTATTTTGTTTTTCACTTTCAAATTAGGAGTAGTAAGGTTTCTCTCGGTTTGGTTTGAATTTATAGTAAATGAAGGTTTTGTCTGTTAGTCTTGAACCGAAATCAGTTCCACGATTGATTGAAGTTTTTGGAGAAATTTCGGCAGTGAATTTCATTGAATTCTAGTTCTGAAGTATAAAGATTTTAGCTTTGAATCTTATTGAAATGAGCTGAATCATTAATTGAAATTTTGCAGCGAAGTATGGATCTAAATCAGAAGCGAACCAAAACGGTTGACCGAGTCGATCCGGTTGATCCTGTTGCGGTGTCGCCGGAATCAACTCCAGTGTATCCGTTTCCTGACGAGGTTCTAGAACCGGTGCTCTCGCTGATAAACTCTCACAAGGACCGCAGTTCCGTGTCTCTAGTATGTAAAGACTGGTACAACGCTGAGCGGTGGAGCAGACGTCATGTGTTTATCGGAAATTGCTACTCGGTGTCGCCAGAGATTGTAGCCGGGAGGTTTCCTCAGATTCGGAGCGTGACCTTGAAGGGGAAACCGAGGTTTTCGGATTTCAATTTAGTACCGGAGGATTGGGGAGCTGATGTTCATCCATGGTTGAGTGTTCTCGCCAAAGCGTATCCATTCCTGGAGGAGCTGAGACTGAAGAGAATGGCAGTTAGCGACGAGAGTTTGGAGTTTCTGGCGACGAACTTTCCAGAGTTTAAAGCTCTGTCTCTATTGAGTTGTGATGGATTTAGTACTGATGGGTTGAAAGCTATTGCTACTCATTGCAGGTAAAATTTCTACTTTTCTTCTCGATGTTAGAGCTAAATGTGTTCTCCAAGGTGCATCAATCAGTTTATCTGTTCAACATCTGTCGTCCCAATTCATCTGAATTTGTCAACTAAGGTTTCGTTTGCTGTAAGAGACATAAATCTGATCACTTTACTCTTGTGTTTGATCTCAATGTTATCAGATCACATTAATTTTGTTGTTATTGTTTGAAAATTTTGAAGATCTGGATTACAGTTTTAGTAAATCCTAATTGCAAAAGATAACAACAAACAAACTCTTGTTCTATATCCTAATTTGGTATCTTTACTTTAAACCGTTGCATAAATGGTTCTAACTTGCCAAAATTACTTTGAAAATCAATTTCATAAATGTAACATGTTACATGTGTTTTGGTCAAGATTAGGTAAAATTGTCAATTTTGAAAAGCACGATCGTTTTCTTTCGGTTTTGGGAGACCAATCAAAATTAAAAAAGAATCAAGTCCCACTATGTTTTTATTCATTTCAAATTTCCCCTTTTCTTCTTCGAAGTCAATCTTATAAATAAGCCGTTAATTGGAAATGTGTAGGTCAAAGAACAGTATCTCATTGTCATCAATCAGTATAAACAGTAGAATATGTTGTTTGATGAACAGAGGTCAAATGGAAAACTAAAAAAGCAAGATTTTATATGATTTGGGTTGAAAAACATTCTGTATGGATACCCTTTGTGTCTAAAAATACATTGAGGGCATTTTCTTTTTCTATTTCCTTGAATTAATCCAATTGTTTTTACCTTTATTTAGTTTTGGGAACATTGGAGCATAACTTTTAGTGGAAAGCTACTTTATGATTTTATATTTCTTTGCCTTTTTAGTTGCTTTCTTGATGTGACACATGACCTGTCTTTGAACATTAATGGCTTCCATGTTCTTGATGTCATCTTCTGCATAAATATCTTCATATCTCATAATTGAGCCATGAAACTTGAATTTAATTTAAACTATATTAATTTTTGATAGTTTGCTAAAAAATATTTATTGATTATTCTTTGCATATATCATTGCATAAAAGAAATTCATTTGTTTACTTTATCATCCTACTTTCATTTCCTCTTACTAAAGCAACATACTTTGAAAAATCTACCTAATTGACTATAATGCCCTTAAAACAGTTGCTATTTCTTACAGGAATTTAACTGAGCTAGACATACAAGAGAATGGAATTGATGATCTTGGTGGGGATTGGTTAAGTTGCTTCCCAGAAACCCTAACCTCATTAGAAGTACTAAATTTCGCAAGCTTAAACAGTGAAGTTGACTATAATGCCCTCGAGAAGCTTGTTACTAGGTGTAAATCATTAAGGGTTTTGAAAGTTAACCGAAACATAAGTTTAGATCAATTGCAAAGACTTCTATTACGGGCCCCACAACTAACTGAACTTGGCACAGGAACCTTTATGCAAGATCTTGTCACCCGTTCAGTATCTGAGCTCGAGGGTAGTTTTGGAAATTGTAAAAATCTACTTACTCTCTCTGGTTTATGGGACACTACTTCACTTTTCTTACCAGTTATCTACCCTGCGTGTGCTCGACTTACTTTTTTGAATTTGAGTTATGCAACTTTAAGGAGTGTGGAATTAGCAGATCTTCTTACTCATTGTAAAAGTCTGAAACGCCTTTGGGTAAGTGTTAGAAATAGTAAAAATACTTTCATTAATCTATTTAGAGTAAATTACTGAAATTGTCCCTATGGTTTGATCAAAATTGCACGTTTGGTCCCTAACTTTTTTTTTTTTGCACTCGGATCGTCCTTGTGGTTTGATTTTTTTGCGTTTTTCGTCCCTTACATACATAAAGTTAGGGACCAAACGTGCAATTTTGACCAGACCACAAGGATGAAAAACGCAACAAAATCAAACCATAGGGACGATCTGAGTGCAAAAAAAAGTTAGGGACCAAACGTGCAATTTTGACCAAACCATAGGGATGATTTCAGTAATTTACTCATCTATTTATTATAGCATCCTATTTTAATTATGGGTAAAAAATACGAGTAAATAAATTATGGGTAAAAAAAATGTAAGTAGGTTTGCTATTATGGGTAAAAAACACGAGTAAATAAATTACATTATGTATACCGCTAAAAGAAACATTTAATATTTTTTTGTTTCCGTATAGGTTCTTGATACTGTTGGGGATAGTGGTTTAGAAGCGGTTGGATCATGCTGCCCGTTACTTGAAGAACTGAGAGTCTTCCCGGCTGACCCCTTTGACCAAGAAGTCGCCGGGGTGACCGAATCCGGTTTCGTCTCGGTTTCCCGTGGCTGCCCCAAACTTCATTACGTTCTTTACTTCTGCCACCAAATGACAAACGCCGCCGTAGCCACCATTGCCCGAAACTGCCCGGGCTTCACCCACTTTCGTCTCTGTATCATGAACCCTGGGCAGCCCGATTACTTGACCAACGAACCCATGGACGAGGCTTTCGGTGCGGTTGTCAAAACCTGCCCGAACCTCCAACGCCTGGCGGTTTCCGGGCGGTTGACCGACCTTACGTTTGAATACATTGGGAAATATGCAAAAAACTTGGAAACTCTTTCGGTTGCTTTCGCGGGTAGTAGTGATTTAGGGTTGAAGTATGTTTTGGGCGGCTGCCCGAAACTGAGGAAGCTTGAGATCCGAGATTGCCCGTTTGGAAACGCGGCGTTGCTTTCGGGTTTGACTAAGTATGAATCAATGAGGTCTCTTTGGATGTCGGCTTGTAATTTGACTATGAATGCGTGTAGGGTTTTGGCTAAAGAGATGCCGAGGTTAAATGTTGAAGTTATGAAAGATGAAGATAGTGAGGATAGTCAGGCTCATAAGGTTTATGTCTACCGAACCGTGGCGGGACCTCGAAGGGATGCCCCACCTTTCGTCCTCACCCTCTGAGTTCCCTGACCAGTTATCTAGTCATCTGATATGATCTAATATATCATATCAGATGACTAAAGTATAACTGGAGACCAATCATCTGATATGATATATAAGATATCATACCAGATGACTAAAATATGACTGGAGACTCATGCTCCGGTCATATTATGTTGGACGACTCATGCTCTAGTTATCTGATATAATCAGATGACTAGGCATTTGTAATTTGGAAAATAAGGTTGTATTGTGGGAGAGTATAAAAGATAGGAAACATATTGTTATATTTGAAGATTGTTCCCGTCATTTATATTGAAAGTTCGTGTGTGGGACGGGTGTGAAAGCACGACATGATATGGGATAAGTTGTTTTTCTTGTTTTTGTTTCGGTTGGGCAAGTTTAGTATGTTGATGTGTAGTTAAAAGTAGTGAATTGTTAAAGTTTGAATCTTTGAAGACAAAAGTTGGACTCTATTTGTGTGGGACTGATGATATGTAGGTGTGATTTATAGAGTTAAGGAGGTGAGAAACCGAGAATTATGTATCAATAATATGTGGTTTCTATCATAAAATCGAATGTATAATTTTATTAATTTTATAAATAGCTTTGTAAAATCTAAACTTTGATCAAATGAATATCAGAATCAGAGTTGTAAATTATGAAACAATAATTTAACGAAGATATTGTCCTAGTTAGTTTTACATTTTAAAATATAATTTAATGACGATGCTTTGCTAGTTAATTTTAGGACAAAATTGCAAAAATGGTTTTTGTGGTATGTATTTTTTTCGAGGTGTAGTTGAAATGTTAGTTTTTTTTTTTGGCTTTGTGGTATTTTTAGGTTACTTTTGTTGTAGACTTGGTTATTCAGTAAAATGAAATGATTTGAAAATCATTAGGATATTTATTTTCTAATTTTCTTTCATTTTTTTTTAAAATTTAATACTTATTTTATTTATTTTAATAATTAAAAAATAAAAGGGGTCTACATTTCTCTCTCTCTCTCTCACACATACACACACACACAAAGACAAATCGTCACTCAAGAAACACTATAAGAAAATGGTTGTTTTTTTCATCCCGATAAGAACAAAACCATGTGAGCAGATGAAGCTTTTAATTTTGTTTTAGAATCAGGGAGTGTTCTTTCTGAGAACACAAAAAGAAACTTGTACCATCTCCAAGGAAGAAGAACTAGAATTTGCTGGTGGCTCCGATTAATGTCAAAAATAAGAAATTAAACGCTGGTTGATCCAACCCCACCTGCACCTTGTACAGTTGAATCAATGTTATCAATCCCAACGACTTCAGGTGTGATTATCTTCTTAATAATCATCTGCCCAATTCTATTGCCCAATTTCACTTCAAAATCAATATCAGAATGGTTGAATGAGACTAAATCTCAAAGCTACAAATAGATAAGTTGTAATTCGTAAGAACACAACCCTAGTATACTATATAAAAACCAGTCAAAGAAGGTATGAATGTACTTTTCGAAACTAAAGGATCTCAAGAAACAGTTTTTGAGTCAAATTAGGTCATAACAACAACAATTGACTACCAAATTCACATAAGCATAGATTCAACTAGCTCTTAATGTACCTAAATCAGATTAATGAAGAAAAATACCTCAATTTACCAGAACTTCCTCGATGGTTTGGTGAAGTCAATATCTCCTTATATTCAACAGCCAAAAAAGGGAAATGGTTGCAACTAATCCAAAATTGTGTGGTGAAAAAAACCACTTGTAACGCCAATTTCCAAATATTTGCATTGTTAGCCTTGCTTTGTGATTAATTTTGCATTTTGGTCCCAAACTCCAAGCGTTGGGAATGGAATGCTAGGCGTAAGTTTATGGATGCCACACATTCGCACACAAAGGACAAACCCTAATTTTTGGGTTTGCACCCTATTTAAAGGCCATTACAGTCTCAAAACGTTTCTTATCTCAGGCCTCCATCCCATATAGCCCTCATATAACATCCGGATTCCCATGTATATTATTATTCATTTAATTTTTGGAGTTTGTGAAGGAACTCGGCGAGTTGGCGCCAAGACTCGCCGAGTAGGGACGCGAATGTTCATTCTATTTCATGACCGGACTCGGCGAGTCCATTCGTGGACTCGGCGAGTTCACGCTGTTTAGTGAAGCCCTAATTTCCAGGGCTTGGAACCTATTTAAGGCCCTTATGGCCGTCCATTGTGGCTACTACCCCCAGAGAGAGTCTCAGATCGTTTGAGAAGCAAGGAGTGACCATTGTTGATCTTTGTGGTGTCATTTAGTAAGAAGAAGGAGGTTCTAGCCAAGGGAAAGCAAAGGAGGTTGCTATTCTAAGGACTAAAAGCTAAGATCATTCATTTGAGGTATTATTTCGACTCTTCTTCTGTTTCGGGAAGGATATGTGGTTTTAGGGTTTCTTGTACCCTTGACTAAGTTGATTTGAGGTCCAAATAGTCCTTTCTAGAGATAAGGCTTTGTACCTGGAACCATAGAGGTCCAGAGAGCCTTATTCTTCAAGCTTTATGAAGAGAAATGGAGGTCATGACCTTGGGTTAAGGTATTTGGGACAAAATCATCATTTGATGCTTATTGGTTGAGTTATAAGCATCAAGATTCAGACTTTACGTGACATTTATGCTTGGGAAGGCCATATCTATGGATTAGGGGCACATATCTGATCACAGGAGATCAATAGAGTTTGTGCATGGCATGAACTCGCCGAGTTGTTCTTGGGACTCGGCGAGTAGGGTTAAGGTCCACGCAGATCACTCGGTGAGTAGACTTACTGAGTTGGGAGATAACTCAGTGAGTCAGAAGGGGGTTAAAAGACTGGAGTTCAAGGCGGTACTCGCCGAGTTGTTCTTGAGACTCGGCGAGTTGAGTCGGGGTAGCCCCACGATTCATGCCAGGTGTGACTCGTTGAGCATAGGGTGGGACTCGACGTACCAAGCGGGACAGAGAGTTAGTGGACATGTGTGTACTCGCCGAGTCACCAGAGTGCACTCGGCGAGTTGGGTCAAAGTTGACCGTTGACTTTTAGGGTTTGGTCAACAATGGGGTCCTTGAGTTAAGAGAGGGGTAAAATAGCCTTTTACCCTTCTGAGGATGACAATAGAGGGCCGAGTCTAGCCTCGAGTGTTATGTTTATGAGGGTATTTACTTTGTGTGAATAGGCGGAGGCTAGGAAATACTTCTATCGAGTCAGAGATTTACGAGGCGTCTGAGGTGAGTCTTCTCACTATGCCTTACCCGATGGGGTAATTGTATGTGACCAAAGGGTCTTATGTGTATGATGTATATGCGATGTAAGTTATATGTGATATGAGCATGATGTGGGCCGGAAGGTCAACCGAGTCTGGGATGGAAATCCCCTGAGACACTTGGATCGGAAGGTCCTATGGCCTGGAAAGGCATATGTGATATATGTGGTATTTTAGGGAACTCATTAAGTATTTATGCTTACAGTGTTATGTGTTATGTGTTTCAGGTACTAGCGATGATCGCGGGAAGGCGCCGGCATGACTCGTACACACGCACACTAGAGTTTAAATATTTTGATCTTGGGGTTTTGTACTGATACAATGTTTTATTTATGGATGCAAACTATATTTCATGGTTTTTCAAAAGTGAAAAATTGTTCAAATTTTTACGGTGTTACAAGTTGGTATCAGAGCCTTGGTTTGAGGGATTCGGATATATCTTTGGGCGCATCTGAACTCAAACTGGGGATTTGAGGAACTTTTTAATAATAAAGTAAAATTTTTGAAAAAGAGAAAAAAGGTTTTGAGACAAACTGAGCAGAGCCGTGTGTACGATCAGCCAGCGCCCGAACGGTGATTTCCCAAAATACTCTCATAATATGTGTTATCAGACATGCTATGTTATGCTATGTGATGAATTACGATGTGCATGCTAGAGTAGACTAGGTATTCTTATTAGGACTAGAGTGGCCTGATATATGATGCCTTAGCCTAGGCGTTTTGCTGCTAGAAATGCTTAAGAGTGTTTAGGTGGCAGCGAGGTGCTTATGAGAGAATTGTTGGCGAGTAGCACATGATAGTAAGAGTAGAGCACTTGGGATTTGGGGCTCAAGGAGGAGGACTTGGGATGAATGCCGATGCGGTATGGACGGTATTATTGGGCCCGTACTACTGAAGATACCGGGTTGGTGGGCAGTCCAAGTAAGAATCCTTAGGGCACTAAGGAACCAGTGGGGTGGAGTTATCAAGTGTGATTATACTCGAGTGGGTCCTTAATATTCTTATGTTGTATTTTCAGAGGGAGATCATGGTTGGGACACGTGATACACCAGAGGTCAACGGGACGAGTGATGAGGAGATCCGTAGGATCATCAACGAGGAGGTGGCTGCGGCCATCAGGGCTGAGATTCCAGAGATGTTCGGGTCTATTAAGACTACCTTGATTGAGACTTTTGATGAGCGGTATGCTGCTCTTTCTGATGCTGCTGTTGCTGCAGCCACATCGGCCGTTGCTGCTGCCAGGCAGCAAGGGGGTGACTCGTTGTTGTATCGGGAGTTCAGCAACACGCAACCACCAGAATTTGACAGAACTCAAGATCCGATAGCCGCGATAAGGTGGGTTTCTGACATAGAGGGGTGCTTCTACACATGTTCCTGTCCGGAGCATCTGAGAGTTTGATTCGCGCTGAACCAGCTTCCCTTGGGAGCGAAGGACTGGTGGAAGTTTGTGACGGCACACTACACCCCTGCTGAGCTTGTTGCAGTAACATGGGAGATGTTCATTGCTATGTTCCGAGATGAGTACGTTCCCCAGGCGGAGAGGGAGCGATTGGCACAGGAGTTTCTAACCCTTAAGCAGGGTACTGAGTCGGTTACAGAGATTACACGGAGGTTTTACGAGAAGGCGATGTTATGCCCTGAGCACGTGTCGACCGAGCAGGCATGTATGAGTCGATATCTGAGCATTTTGAGGAAAGGCATTCGTGAGTTTGTGGCAAACTCATCATACCGGACATTTGCTGAGCTTCAGGCAAATGCCTGGAAGAGGGAGATCGAATTGGAGACGCAGGCCAAGGAGGAGGCCGAGTCTCAGAGGATGGATCGGCGGCCGGTACAGTCTTAACCGGCAGCCAAGCGGGCCAAGCCCGCTGATTCGAGGACTGGGGGTCAGAAGGGCCGTACTTGCGGAAAGTGCGGCAAGGGTCATGACGGAGTTCGTAGGGTTGGTGCTTGCTACAAGTGTGGCAAGGAGGGGCATATCGCCAAGGATTGCCCCAAGGGATTCATGGTCTATTTTCACTACAACCAAACAGGGCACCAGAAGGCGGAATGTCCACAGTTGCGAGGGACGACGCAGGGATCTGCCCCTATTGTTGCAAGACCTAGTGAGAGTTGGCCTGTGAAAGCCGATGCGCCAAAGGCGCGAGGGAGAGCATTTCAGCTGACAACGGAGGAGGTCCGTGCAGCACCTGACGTCGTCGCTGGTATGTACTCTATCATGTATTCATTTTATGTTGCGATATTGTGCTTATATTATGTTATGCGTAGGTACTTTTCTTGTGAATTCTGTACCTGCTCTAGTGTTATTCGACTCGGGTGCGAGTCGATCTTTTGTATCGTTGGCATTTAGCCGACACATCAGTATGAGTAGAGAGCCGTTGAGTCGACCTCTGAGGGTTTCC